TTTTTCTCATATATATTTTTTTGGAAACCAAGATTTTTTTACTTTTGAAAAACCAAAATATTATTTCAAAGTCTTTTTTAGATATTAATCCAAACATAAAATAATTTTAACTTTTAAAAAAAAAATTAAAAAGCAATACATAATTTTTTTTTTAAACCGATCCAAACGGATTTTTTTTTTTATTTTACTAGTTATCGTAATGATTTCATCTATTTATGCCTTCACAAGCAATTGGGTGGAGGGCATGACTCTTGTGATTTGTGGAATAGTGCGGGGATATGGTCTTTATCCAAACTTCTTTGTCCTGAAGAATCTCTGTCCTATTTAATGGCTCAGGCTCAGAAAATTTGAAAACCATTATGATATTTTTCTTCCTTAAAAAATTTGAGTGGTAACTTTATAAAACTGAATTTTCATTTTCTCCAAAGAATATACTTTTTTTTATTAAAAAAATTGTTAATTATACACACATATCCATACATATATATATATATATGTAAAGAACCTTGGGATACACCATCCCAAAAGCTAGCTCAAAGGGTGGGAGTGTCCAAGGTCTTATAAACTCCACATTAGTTGCACATACAACCAATGTGAGACTATATATCTCAACACGCCCCCTCACACGAGAGCCCAGAGTGGACAATGCAACAGGCCCGGCCTACGCCACAAGAGAAAGTGGGGGGTGGCGAGACTCTGATACCATGTAAAGAACCTTGGGAGCATGTAAAGAACCTTGAGGTCACCACCCCAAAAGCTAGCTCAAAAGGGTGGGAGTGTCCAAGGCCTTATAAACTCCACATTAGTTGCACATACAACCAATGTGGGACTATATATCTCAATATATATATATATATATATATATATATATATATATATATATATATATATATATTGGATTTGGAATTTTTTTTTGAAATCTTTTAAAAAAAATGTTATTATAAAATATTTTTTAAAATGCCTTGGATTTTTTTTCTCCAAACTCTAAAAACTTCGTTTTGAGATATCATGATAAGAGAAATACTATATTCATATATATCACATTTTATTTAATCGCTCAAACCCAGAAATTAGAACTACTGATATTTTTTCTTCCCTAGGAAAATATAATTGAAAGAATATACTGGTGTTTTTTATTTAAAAAAATGCATGCAAACATTAAGCACAGCAATGGCTTGAAAGTCACTTTAATGGGTAATGGGTAGTGTCCCATTTATCATTCAAACTGATTTACTTTTTTTATATATATATTCTTACTCGAAAAGCCCCAAAATAAAGGAACAGAAAATAATAGTTCAACTATACATGCAAGCCTTACTTTATAGCATCAAAGCATCTTGATAGCCTCTCGTTGCACCATACTATGAACTTCCCCTTAACACAAAGTGAGCTACATGCAATGCACACGCATACACCTTTTCTTTCACCTAAAAATACACATGATATGACAAATGAATGGAACAGCATAAGATTAGAAGCTTATATTAACTAAAACCAAACAAGCCTAGAGTGAACATATGCTTCTTTTAATCCATATATAATCGAGCATCCTAAACAACAAAATTAACTTAGCTAGACTTCGTTTTGCAATACGTACGTGACTACGACATTGAAACAATACGAATTAAGTAAAATTAACCTACCCCATCAACTACATCATCATCAATATCTTTAAAAGGTTCCATTACCAACACTTACAATTTGAAAGAGATGGAACTACCAAAAGTTTTCCACAGGCATCGACTTTTATTAGGGGAAGATCCACAAGGAGATCAAAGGGGAATAAAAGGAAATTTAATATAAGAGTGACTATTATTTTATTAATTAAATTATATACTTATGTACTATTGTGCCATCCAAACATTGACCAAACAAAAACTTTATTGATCTATCTAGATTTGCTGAAACTTCTGCTGTTTGTATGATGACAAGAAAAGGAATTGGTATTGTACAACCAAGCATTACCAAAGTGCTCCCCCTAGGGGTCTACATTAATTATGTAGGAATTGACCCATGTAAAGCGATCACGTCCTCAACTTTCCCCCCCTTAGAAATTACGTCGAAATCACGCATACAACTTTAGTTTATTCATAATGAAAGTATATACACTTAAATAAGTATGATTTATTTAATGGGTTTGTATTTGTCATTTAACATGACATAACAAACTTTTTTATACACATAATATTTTGTGGGGTTCACACTTTTTGAAAGAAAAAAAAAATTACGACACGCAAAACGAATCTCTATAACATTAGACAATTACTTTTTCTATAAAATAACTCTTATAAAACCCTTTATTTAATTAACGAGCATAGTCCAAACTTATCGTGGGGTCTACACTCATGCTTTTGATTAATAGCATGATGCAAAGAAAATTTTACCTTTGTTGACTAGATCCTTATCTGTATGTGTAAATTGTTTCCATTTTTAAAATATCAATTCATATTTTTTGTCCCATTCAAAAAATTTACCGTTTTCTTTGACAAATCCCACACGAAATTTCTAGCTTGCTTCGGATAGAATCATAAAAAATGATAAAAGTCCCGTGAGAAAAATACATAAAAATTTTTTTTATTGTGTTACGTCAATCCGATGGCTTTGTTGTTCTTTTCCGTTAACTAAAACTTTTCCTTTTGCTTTTGTGCTTCTAATTAAGTTGTAACATAACTATTCCATTAAATAAATTTCGAAACATATTAATTGAGGAGGAATATCCCTTTCATAATTAAAGATAAATTTTGGGTGCTTCAATTAACCGTATATAGGTCATCTCATGGAAAGAAAAAGAGAGTTGGGGATTCTATTCATATGAATTAAAAGCTAATATCTCTTTTTACCAAAAAAAGAAGAAGCTAATATCTCAAATGGATAGTAATCTGGGAATAAGTTGTTTCTCACAGAAACTGAAGACAAATCACTGTATAAAAAAAAAAGCCAAATTACAATTATAATATCATAAGATACACACACAAAATTGCGAGATCAAATATAATTAACCTAAAAATCACTCCTCGTTAAACCCGACTAATTAACGAGTGAGGAGTGGGGGTAATCATTATACGCAACATTACTACTGCTCCGGTTCGCTCCCCCCAAAGCCAAATTACAATTATAATATCATAAGATACACACACAAAATTGCGAGATCAAATATAATTAACCTAAAAATCACTCCTCGTTAAACCCGACTAATTAACGAGTGAGGAGTGGGGGTAATCATTTTACGCAAAATTAATAATGCCCCGGTTTGCCCCCCCCCCCCCCCCCCAAGCCAAATTACAATTATAATATCATAAGATACACACACAAAATTGCGAGATCAAATATAATTAACCTAAAAATCACTCCTCGTTAAACCAGACTAATTAACGAGTGAGGAGTGGGGGTAATCATTATACGCAACATTACTACTGCTCCGGTTCGCCCTCAAAGATAATTAACCTCTATCTAAAACTTTGTCTTCAAATTATTTTTCTATGATTTCCAAATTTCAATTGTTATCTGAAGAGAGAAAAGCCAAGCAAGAAAAAAATTAAAAATTAAAAAAATCAGCAAACCCTTTACGGATAAAGTTTTGTCATTAATTAGATTATAAATTATTTATTGATTACACCATTTAGCCCACATATACATGCATGTTCGCCGCCGATTATGTTAACCTCAGCTGCATATGATCCTCATTGCAGCATGCAACTAAATATGCAATAGTAAATGCCATTTATTGTGGTCCGAAACACTGAAGCTAAACAAAATTTCGTTAATTTTAGCAACTTTTTAAAACATTAATGCCAAAAATCATTCAAGACAATTATTTTCTGCTACTCATCATCGATCGACGTACGAAAACTCCCAGTTATATAAATGAAAGGGCATGCATTTGTTGAGATCATGCGTGCATGGATGACTTCGCGATCAAACCATAAAATTAATCACCTAAATCACAATGAATTGTTTATTTTCCTTCCAATCTTGTTAATAACAATTTATCACAGGTACGTAGCGTTCAAGATGTTTCTTCGTTGGTCAAATGAAACATGGTGATCATGATCAAGTCCAACAGTAAAGTAATAAACTCCATTGGATAATTTTAATCAAGTTGTTATATAATATTGCATTCTAAATAGAGGAGAATTATATTGACAAATTTTTCTTTTTATAAATTTATAAACTACAGTATGTCTTAAGACTTTACTCAAAAGTGTCTTGTCGGAAATATATAGTATAATTTATAAGAATTTATAAATAAAAAATTTATAAATATAACATTTCCTTTGTAAATAGAGGAAGGATATTCTTACTACCAAAATCTTATACTACTAACTTACTAGCTATCTAATCACCATTGAATCAAAGAGAGAGAATGCTAAAAAGTTTTTGAAAAAAGAGAAAATGTTGATCCAATGGTTATTAGATAGGTAGTGAGTTGGTAGTAAAAGATTTTGGTAGTAAGAATATCTCGCCTCTTGTAAATACACTTTAATAATAGAATAAATTTTACAAAAAAATAATAGAATAAATACCCTTTTTGGTCCCTAACAAAAAATATAGTCCCCACTTTAGTCCCTTATAAAAATAAATCAGTAAGTTAGTCCCTAACAAATTTAGAGTGGACCCATTTAGTTGAAATCGTGGTTCCTCACAAATTCAAAAAAGACCCATATTAGTCCCTCAAAAGGACTAAAATGGATCCACTTTGAATTTGTTAGGGACTAACTGACTAATTTATTTTTGTAAAGGACTAAAGTGGGGACCGTATTTTTTGTTAGGGATCCAAAAGGATATTTACTCCTTAATGATACTTATCTCATCACAGGAGACCGAGAGATGAAAGAAAAATACTTCCCAAACAAAGCTTCACAAAACATGAATAAGAAAACGATAACATAGAAAACACATGCAAATATTAAGGAATCAAATTTGCACCCACGTACAAGACAAAGGTTCATTATGAAAACTTCTTTCAAAAACAAGTACATGAAATAATAACATTTTTCTGCACCTAGTTTTCGCCTTACTTGTTATTCTCATCAGCTACAGTAATTTCATTATTTGTTTGTCCAAGCAAGCTGCTTATGGATCGAGCTTTTACTATTCCAAGCTTCATCTTCTTCTTTGTATTCATCACTGGCTTCTTCTCGTCATTGTCTTCACTATCATTGTCCAAGGAATCATTGACACACTTGGTTTGCATGTTCCTTGGTGCAATAGTAGTGGTTGTAGCAATAGACCTGCTTCTTACACTTGTCATGCTTCTTAACCTTCCCTTACCCAAGTGATGCTCACACAATGAGTAACCCACAAGGGTTTGTTGACAGCACCTCCATCCTCTCCCATTCACACGACTGCACCGTGAACCTTCCATGAGTGCACCACCCCTTACCCTCTTCTTATTACCAACGTTCACATCAGGTTTTGTTTCTCTTTCCTCTTCTTCTGCATTGTTATCTTCCCCTTCTTTAGTATCATCATCTTGTGCTGAACATTTCTTGTTCAACTTTGTCTTCATCTTCAACTTCATCTTTCTCTTAGTATTATTATTGTTGTTGTTGTTGTTGCTATTCTCTATCAAGCTCCCTCTTCGTTTCTTCGGTGGAAAAGCTTTCTCTCCCTCGCACCATCTCATATCTGCCATGCATGTATATACTCTCTAACTAAGTTAACACCATTGAGTGATAAAATATTCATGCATTGTGACAACACATTCATGTTTGTTACCTTGTTTTGAAGGGCTTGGCGGTGAGAAAGACCCACACAAGATGCCTTCTTTCCTACAAACAAAGAAGACCCAGAAAGAACCACAACCTCATTTATATATACACAAACAATTTACAGCGAAAAGGGAAAAGATGAAAAATAGAAGGAATGTAATATTTTGAAAGAAAGAGATGTGATGTAGTTGGGGACCAGCATTTGGTTCTACCTACTAATGCAATTCAAGGGCAAATGCTACATAATTAGCCAATTTAAAGAAAAAAAAACGATGGCTAAGATAGGAGGGTATATATATGGTGCCTACACAAAGCTCTCATTTAAAACACTTTCAATAGTATTTCCACTGACAGTGCTTTTCTTTTTTATTCATCTGTTTTGGTGGTATATATATTAAATAAATAAATAATTTAAATGTTTATTTCTTTTTCCATGGTGGTTAAAATCAAGTTATGGGTCTCCATGTTTTCAACTTTTTTTAACTACAAGATTTCATGAAAGAATAAGAGAGGAAAAAATTTCATTTTTTTTATTTATTTATTTTAATTCATGTCTTGGTTTCATTCTTACCTGGTATCGTTGCCCTTCTGTCCCCCTACTCCCTCATCTTCCACCTGCAAATCAATCACACACCAAAAAAAAAAAAAAAGACAAATACATAGGATCCACTAAGACATGGTTGGTTACTCCTAATGTCCCCCTTTGAGAGTGTAAAATAAAAAATAAAAAATAAAAATAAAATTACACCAACCCCATGTTGAACAAAAGTGCACTAATTTACAAACTCATCACACTATAAAATCCCCAAAAAAATGGGACAAAAACAAAAATTAAAATGATACATGTGATATATTTTCACTAACCATATAGTAGTCTTGCTTGTTCTGGTGTGCCCCACCCTCACAACCGGAGGAATCATCATAGCCGTCGGATGTTTTCCCGATCGGTGGGAGTGGCTGATCAGACGGCTGAGAACGATCCAAGAGGGGTATTGGTGCAGTAGCCGAACCATAAGTGCAAAAAGGTTTTGGTGAGGTGGTGGTAGCATTGTTGAGTTGCAACAAAACCGGTGACCGGTTGATCCGGTTGGGATCTGAGAGAGTCACCGGCGAGAGGGGGAAAGGCACTTGTCTCTTCCGGATCCTCATCGGTGCAAGAAGGGAACTTCTTCTATCTCACCAGATTTAGTTCAGAAACACCAATAGACTTTGAAATTCTCACACCCCAGAAACGATCTTTCAAGTTAGATTTCAAGGAAAATAATGATAGAATAGAACACATAGAGAAAGAGAAAAAAAAAAAAAAAAAAAAAAAGGGGTAAATACTAAACACCCATTTACTTCAAGCCCACAAAGACCAAGAAAAATTTAAGCTTTTATGATTCTATCAAAGTCTCTTATCTCACTGGCACAAACACACGCACACTTTCTCTCTCCTTATATGTTTCGGTGCTATGGATTTGTGTCTAGCTTTTTTATTTGTTGCACCACAGAAAGAAGGGTGTTGTTGTATCACTTGTATGGGTGAGGGAGGCACGTGTGACTAGTTTTTGGGATGGGAGGCACGTGTGGGGATGGTGACTGGGTTGGGCGGTAGCCGGTGGAAGAAAGAGAAAGAAGAAAAAGACAGAGTACGGACAAGGATGACAGGGTGGATACGGGAGAATTAGCAAATAGAAAATTAGAAATTTATTGTTCAAATTTTTATATTTACAAAATTGAGAAAATAAAAAAACAAAAATTATGATAAAAGAACAAGAAAGAGGGAAGCGAAGGAGGAGTGGGTGGCTCTATCGTTTATACTTTTAAGAAGGACTGTGGTCCCCACAACCGTGACCCTCCTTAACAAGGACCCATATGTTCTCTAGTCAATTCTTATTCTTTTCCATTATATAGGAAGAATTCATAATGCAAAATAATTACTGTACATATGCCATATATGTATCACGTGAATTGCTTTATTAATATTTTTTATGCTTTTAGATTATTCTTTTTATTTTTGAGTAAACACCATTTTTAGTCCATGACAATATCTACGAAATTCTTTTTAGTCCCTGGCAATAAAAAAGGACCAAATTGGTCCCTAACAGTATGAAAAAAGGGCCACGTTAGTGACGGAGGAGTTGACATAAGGACTAATGTGGCCCTTTTTTCATAATTTTAGGGACCAATTTGGTCCTTTTTTATTGTCAGGGACTAAAAAGGATTTCGTAGATATTGTCAGGGACCAAAAAGGGTGTTTACTCTTTATTTTTTGTTTAGATTAAAAACTGGGATATCATAATACTTCAACAAATTATGATATTTTATTTACTAAAGCTGGCATATGTGTAAAATGTTAACGTTTGTATTTTAAATTAAGGTTTATATTTTTATAATATTATATATTATATTAGCAAATATAAGATAAATTAAAATTTTATTATATTTATGTTAACTGTATATTAGTTTTATATGTTCTATCTTAAATGATTCATGTTTTCTAATTATTAAAATTACTTAATTAGAGGTTTATATTTTTCATATCGCAAAATTCTTTTTTTTAGCCGTCAATGACATCATTTTGATCCTTTTGATTAATGGAAAAACATTTTCTTATGTTGCATAAGAATTCAATTCTTATGTTGTGACTCTTCGATTTGCGTGTAAAAATTTTCTTTTCTTTTTCTTTTTTTAATAAATGTGGGGTTCACCACTAATTGAGTCACAACATGAGAATTGAATTCTCATGCAACATGAGAAATCAAACCCCTTAATTAATACCCTTTCCTATTTTCTTTCTTCTTTTCCTATACGTAGGTCATTGTGCCACACCCACCACCATCTCGCCCCACCATCATCGTGCAATACTATAATAACCCAAATAATTAAATTATGCAAATAAAAATTATTTAGTAACTAAAAAGAGTTAATTTGATAAAAGTCTAAAATTTAAATTAGAGTAAAGTCTCTGTTGCATCCCTAACAAAAAATACGGTCTCCACTTTCATCCTTTACAAAACAAAGTCAACTTTATTCATCCATTTACAATTCTAGTTCTTTGAAAATGTGATCCTTCAAAAATTCAATCAAAATCCAATTTAATCCCTAAAAAATGACTAATATGAGTTTTTTTTGTATGAGACAAAAGTAGGAACCGTGTTTTTTGTTAGAGACCCAAAAAGGGCTTTACTCTTTAAGTTAAGTCGCTTTTTGGGGAAAAGTGCAATTATTAAAAGTTTTGGGACAAAAATATAATTAAGCAAAAGTTGCCAAAACTTAGAAATAATTTAGTGAAACTCATTCTATATAGTTTTGTGAGCCTAAGTTAATAGCCAATAAATTAGAGTTTGTGTGAGATTTAATTAAAGCTTGACACATAGAACACAAGATTAAGTCACACACAAAAAAAGTCTAAGAAGATTTTGACTAAGTCAGAAGACCAAATTTTCTCACTTTTCCTCAAAGTCTCTATCCTCTCCATTGTGTCTTACATATTTTCTTTCTCCTTGGCCGAATATAAAATCTCCCTTTCTTCCTCTTTGTGCAAAACTTTGTCCAACCCATGAGGAGCCTGCTTAGCCTTTCAAGAATCTTTACTCAATCTTTCATAGAATCGTCACTCAATCTCTCCCAACACTCAACCCTTTCAAGAAACCAAGAAGAAAACAAATTCTAATTCCTTAAGGAGCATGCTTAGCCCACTTGGAGTATTTTAGAGTGACACTATATATTTTGGAGTGATATGCACTTGTAGGTCAATTTTGATAGAACTTGTATTCTTTTTGGTTAATGTGTAAATATGGCCTATGTAGTTATATTCATGTTGATGAATCTTGGTTTATAATTCAAATGCTTAAGTATTATGTTTATGCTATGATTGATGCATTTTATTAGCACTTGTGTATGAAAATGCATATGATGTGAATGTGATGTCTTGAAGCCTATTTTGATGAATCCATTGATGGATGTTGTATGTTAGGCTTATGGATAGCTAGGTGTATGCATTTGATATGAGAAAATGCTAATTAGGTGGTAATTTGAACCTTGGAGGATCTCTCAGAACCTTTTATGCGACAAATAGGGGAAAATGTTGTTGGTCTTTGGCTTATGTCCATGAAGATTCAAATCCTTCCCCCAAGGATTTGAATATCTACTGTTATAGTGGAGGATTCAAGTGCTTTTCGAAAAGATTTGAATCCTACTTGTTCTAAGGACTAAAGTATGAATCTTAGTGGTTCCACAAAAGGCTTAAATCCCTTTATCCAATGACCTATATCTAAGGATCACTTTTCTCACATAAATTAATCTAAGTAGGACTCCATGGTTATGGTATTTATGATAATGAAAGAACATGTATTCTAGTATGGCCTAAACCCACTTCCGATGAGTTGTGGTGCCTTAATTAAGGGTGTGGTACCCTTGGGAAGTTGGATGAACCTCTTCCACCACTGATGGAAGTCCTATCATTAGTACCCAATGTATAAGGGTTAGTAAAGTTTTAAGTCTTGAAGATTGAAGCGGTTAATTGAATGAATGAACTATATAGAATATGAATGTATCAAATTGAGTTTAATAACATGTTTATGAAAGGAAATTTTTTAACTCACACTTTTGTTTAAGAATAAATGGTTAAGTCACTAGTGTAAGTGACAAAGTAAATGATTTCCTTAATGTTTCTTAATTATTTATGTTGTGTTAAATACCATAAATGAGTTAATGCATCGGGTGCACACGGGGTGCTACGAGCACCACCATTGCACCACACCCACAAATGGTGGAAGGTCCATTTTGATGATTGATCACCGCACCAACAGAATAGTGAGGATATTGCTCAAAAACCTAGTGTCTCGCACTTGCTGTCTCTTGGTCATCAGAAAATAGAAAAACCATAACCAGCTTCGTAGCCTTGTCACGTATGATATTAAGCGCAATCACAATCACAATAATTAATTTAAAGTATGACTATAATTTTTCCTTTTTCAACATTTTCCATTTTGTTTTAAAATTCATACAGTATAAAATTAACCCAAAACTATAATTATAACCATACACAATACATAATGTCAAATCTAGCTTAAACATATCATCCATGCCTCTTAAGACTCTGCAATGAAGTCCCCATAAACAACATGGCACTAAAACTCGACTTCCAATTCGAATAGAGAAAACAACACCACTTCCCGGGGAAGTATTCAAATACTTCTCGAAAAATTCGAATACTGCCTGAAAAATATTCGAATACTTTTCACGAGTATTCGAATACTCACTTTACATAAGCTAAAATCCCCTATTTTGAAAGCATTCCAAAATCATACAATACCCTCCATGGGTTCATACAACTTGATAGACATGGAACGAAAAACCAAATGCCCAACAAACCTATGTGCACTTACATCCATTAACATATATTTCAAGTTATAACAAATGAAAATAACATCAAGTCCATTACATGTCATGTTAATGTACATATGTAAATCCATATACAAGTCTTCCAGATGAATACATATACATCATATATCATTTGGCAAAATAATACATAAGTTAACAACCTATACATACGTTTCCAATACATCTACATAGGCATAATCAAAAGAGGAATAGACATCCCCTATGCTCTCAAATATGAAACATAATGTGAGACACACATCTATATATCAAAATAAATCCTGCAAGCATGCAAAAAATCATGGCACTCTAGCCTGGTCTTTCACTCCGTGATACTCCTGCATCGTCAGTACCTGCACCTGAAATCCTCATAACGCGGGGTGAGATATACATACATATATCAATAAACTAGGGGTCCTTGGAGATTCATCCACCCCCAAGTTCACTTCAGCATAAAAGCAGTAAATCATATGATACAACATATACATACCCATGCTATGCAAATAATGCTCATCCAAGACATCCCTAAGGACAACACACTTTCTCAGGAATGCTCATTCCGCAATAACAATAAATCCTACTGGCCAGAGAACCTACACTCTATAAATTACACAAGAAACATCCTTGATACATACAAAGTGTAAACACATAGTATACACATACATATATCCAATGCATCATATAAAATCTATGCAATTACATATAACATATAAATCACTCCCCTTCAGGGTATGGTGGAACCAGCACGAGATAAATCTCAAGGTCCGAAAGCTTACTATAGTAGCTTTCCAACCAAAATCCAAAGTATTCTGCCACCAACTATAAGCAACACCTAAGCTTGATTCAATGAAAATTAAAATAACACCTCGTATTCTAAAACATATAATTATAGTTAAAACATGAATTAAAGGGTAGGATTAGTGAAAATCCTGAATTCGGAACCAAAATACGTAAAAAGGGTAAAATGGTAAATTAGCGAATACGCAACCCTAGACAATGAAATGTGAGTAGAAGGTATCAAATGGAAAAACTAACCCTGTAAATGGATTCAGAACAAAAAATTGAGTGGTTAGGCAAGTTTCTGAAAATTTGATGAATAGTGTATTTA